CTAGAATGGTCTGCAATGCTGTAATTGCTGCAAATGGAGGATTCTTTGACGAAAGCAAAGTTTGATGTAAAAAAAATGTTATTTAAAATACAAATCATTATTTCTAACCTTGTCAATGTCTTGACTATATTTGCTATTCATTTCACAACATATGGTGTTGAATAAGTGTGACTTTTCAGGAAAACACAAAATTGTTTGGGTGACCCCAAACTTTTGAACAGTAGTGTTATCTCAGGTGGAACAGGTGGAATTTGCTCCTAAGGCCCTCAGGGGATAAAGGATGTTTTTTGCCCCTGCCAATCTTTTAACAGTTGAGCCAAAAAAAAAAAAAAAAAAGTCTATTACAGTAAAACAGATGAATGAAATAAACTACTATCCTGTTGGAGTTTTCTCTAAGGGGGGGGGGGGGGGGGGGGGGCAACAAATTCACAATAGGCGTATACTACAAACCAATCATAGTTTCATTTACAGGTTTACTTTTGTACACAAATCTTGCCCTTCTGAGGCTTTGTTAAGGTAAATTTGTGTTTTGCACTAAAACTATCTAAACTACTCTTTCTAAGGTGTCATTGTTTTCAGTATGACTGTGAATTTTACTGTGTTTACACAGTGAAATATTGATTGCAGGTCCATCACTGGTACAGTCTCATCACATGCTTTAAGCCTGCATTCGCATCAGAGGAGGCAATGACATCACAGGTAGGGAGCGTGCTGTATTCAGGGAAGCAAATATGGATGGTATTGCTTTATCCAGGTAGCTGTAAAAGGGTAAATTGTTTTATCAGAGCATTCTGAGCCGAACTATAGATGCCTTACAGAAATATTCCTGACCATGCAAATGACGTATGTATGACCGCTGGTGCTGCGTTTTCTGTTCTTCACTGCTAACATTCTGCCTGCCTTTCCAAACCAACACATCACAGAAATACAAGCAAAGACCTGGCATAAATAAATGAATTCCTCTGACAGAGATTAAAAACCCTGAATCAGCCATTTTCCCCTTTTTGTTTGACGTTTTTGTTCTTTCATTTAGACGAACCTGTGGCACAGAAAGCTCTTTTTAGCCTCCTGTCAGTACGGATCAGACAGGTTTGCAGAGCAGAGTGTGTCAGAGCTCAGAAATCCTCCAGAGTCAAACACACCATCATGTCTGCAACTGCTTTCATACAAAACAAATCTGGACTTAAGTAAATATACATTTCCAGAATTGAGTTATATTCTGTCAGATTACCTCAACTTAGATAATGGAAAGAGACAGAGCAGATAACTGCTGAATGGAAGGATCTGGCCACAAATCAGCCGCAGGCTACATCAAACTACAACTGCTACTTTCACCAGACCATAAAAACGCTTGTGCAGAGTGGTCAGAAGATGTAGAGGTGTGTTTTCCAGAGGAAACATTTCAGTATCTGACGTTTGTACATCTGCTGTCATAATCAAAAGAGACAGGCAATCTACAACTCTCTACATGTTTGTATAAACAGACCAATTCCCCTGATGGTGCTGTGTGCAGGGCAGCACTGTGGGAATGCTTGCTTTTTTTTAACTTTAAGATAAACAAATAATCAGCATCCTGAGTCACTGCAACCAAAGCTAAACATCATGATTACATTTGATCCCACAGGATCTATTCTACTTTGTTAACAAATTTATTGCAGAATTGTTTAACAAAGAGGTTTTTCACAGGACATGCACACGTTTGTTTCGTGCAATTAGATGGTTTGTCATCGTTACGGGATTCTGAAGCCAAAGACACGCTGCACCGGTCGAGTTAAAGCAGAAAACAACTTTTAAAACAGATCAAACTTGAGTTTTAAACACTAAATGTTTTATTACTGCATGTTTCCAGTGATGGGTTTCTTAAAAAAAATGGCCTGTTTCAAACTCAATCAAATCCAAATCCAAATCACAATCCTGCTCTTTAACCACCTTTCTTTTTGTTTTAGAAATTATACCAAAAAGTATTGCAATAACTGATAACACTGCTGTTTGGAAACCGCCGATCTGTGAAACCATTGAAACTAGGGCCACAACTATTAAGTATTTACTCAATAAATTCATCATGAATGTATTTTTTGACTAATCTTAATGGAGATTCATTTCGTAAATTGAAATTCCTTAATAAACACATTTTTTGACAACTTTTTGGATTAAGGCATTAATAATTAGGAAGCAAAAAGTGTTTTTCTTTTTTTTTCTTTTTATGATTTAACCAAGGTGAAACTTAACCTGCCCCTTTAATATTTTCGAATAGAGAATATTTGACGAAAAAGAAGATTTTTAATCTTTTTCACAGTTTAGCCTTAACTACTGCTCCGAATGGATAATTGTCCAACAAAATTCATCTTTGAGAATCAATTCACAACGATTTTGTTACCAGAAAAGCACAAACATACAAACTGTTTTATCTTCTTTGATTTTTATAAAGTTGGCACCATTTGGAAATGTTAGAGCTGCTCATTGGCGCAGTAGGTAGCAGTGCCGCCTTGCAGAGTTTGCATGTTTTCCCTGAGTAGGTGTCTCACCAGGTACTCCGGCTTCCTCCCACAGTCCCAAATCCAAAAACATGACTGTTAGGTTAATTGGCTTCTCTAAATTCTCCTTAGGTGTGAGTGTGTGTGTGAATGGTTGTTTGTCTCTGTGTTGTCCTGCGATTGACTGGCGACCTGTCCAGGGTGGACCCCGCCTCTCGCCCATAGACAGGCAGAGATAGGCACCAGCACGCCTCGTGACGCCGCTTGGGATAAGCGTGACGGAAAATGGATGGAAAGCTTAGACTCCACTCTTTCAGGATCTGTATTATTAATGACTCCTAGTAGACTTGTTCCTGGTTTTCATATCTCGTATATTTTACAGTGAGATTCTTCGCCAGCCCATCCATGACTGCAGTAATCAGCTGTGTGCGTCTATAGAGTAGAACAGGGGTCTCCAACCCTGCTCCTCAAGATCTACTGTCCTGCAGATTTGAGATGCATCCCTTCTCTACCAAATACTCCACTGAATTCTATTATCCGCAACACTTGTCCCTGCTGAGATAGCAAGGGGTGCTGGTGCCTATCTCCAGCTGTCAATGGGTGAGAGGCGGAGTAGACCCTGGACAAGTCTCCAGTCCTTCGCAGCTCCACCAAATTCAAAGGAATGAATAACCTCTTTAGCATGCCATCGAGTTTGGCAAAGGTTTGGTAGAAAGTTATGTTTTGGAGTAGGGATGCATCTAAAATCTGCAGGACAGTAGATTTTGAGGAGCAGGGTTGGAGACCAATGCAGTAGAGTTTGGAGGATTTGGATCCAACATCGTTTAATGGTTTGTTTACTTTTAAACAGCGAGAAAGAGGTTGTAGTTTTTGTTAGTGTTTTTCTTGAGCTGAGGATCTCCACCTCTGGTAGCACATTTGGATTAAAGAAGGTCAGTTTTTGTTGGATCAGATCCACAGAGTCTTTCATTCCCAACATTTGTAGATGGAAGGGTCTGACTGAAAACAGAAAGTAAACAAGCAATCCCAGAAAGAACAACAGCAATGAAGAGTTTTTTTATAGGGGGAAATAATTCCATCAGGCAACCAGACAACTTCGCTCAGCGCTTCTACAGAAAGGTTTCATGTGGAGGAAAAGAGTCCAGGCAATCAGAGCCGGATCTGTCCTATGACATTCCTATAATATAGATCCAACTATTCTTCTGCAGGTTAAAGAAATGTTCAGCTCCAGTTGAGAAAGTCGCTCAACCGGAGAAAAGATATTGACTGTTTTCCATTCCGAGTCTGTGAGGCTAGAAGGAGAAATAACTTTAATATGTTTTCCGATGCTGCACAAATAGATTAAATGAAATAAAAAGCAGATTTAAGCCAGAGCTGCCTTTACGGAACGATCAGAAAGATGTTTTTTATGAATCTCGTGCAAATATTTATTGATGAAATCATGAGCTCTTTGGACTCAGTGGAAATTTGGAAGCAAATCCAGAGGAATCATCCAAAAACTATTCAAGCAAAAGATTTGGATCTTTAAGGAAGACAATGACGCAAAGCATAGCAGATGAGTGCTGAAAGACTATTCTGTTCAGGCCATAAGAAAGTCCCTTAGAGTCCTGTCCTACATTCATTGGACCACCAATGGGACCCGCTCCAGAACATTCTTCATTTGTCATTTAGCAAAGGTGCTGCTGCTGTACATTAACAGAACCTACACTTGGGCTGTTTCAAAATTCACAATAAAGCAAGCACGGACTCTTGTCCTCGCCGAGTATGTTCTTGAGAAGAACACAGGAAGGTGTGGACTCTGGCAGAACGCAGCATAAATATGGGTCCATTGGAACAGAACGTCGCCACAAACTCGGCTCGTCTGGAGCTAATAGTCTGTAGATAATGATAAATTCTTACTTTTTTCATTTATAATAGTGAATAATAATTACCACAGTCAGATAAACACAAATCAAATGCCAAATAAAACACCCAAAAAAAATCACAGCCAGCGGTCCTTCACACCTGGCTATGCAGAGAGAGGGCTGCTGCAGACGGGCTAGCATTAGACCTGCTGCCGTTACCCTCGGAGGTCCGCTGGTCGCTGCGGTCCTCTCAACATGGAAAATTGTTTTTTAGATTACGCAAATCGGTAAATGGGCCACATAGTGACGCTTAAAAGTATAATGTTCTCGCCTCAAATGATCTTAAAACCTACTTTTATTGAACAACAGCAACAGAAAAGAGAATTTTTAGCTTAATACTCTGAGCTCTGTGAGCTTCCACTGGAAGCTGCTGCTGCAGCAGTGCATGCTGGGACAGCTGTCAATCTCAAGAACGGACAAATCTGCTCTAATGCACGCTGGGTAAAGAGGGAGAAGCGAGAACAACGTCCGGTGACCTTGTCCATTCTCGATCCTCTAGTTCTTTTGAATTGAAACAGGACTAGGGCTGAGGCTGATGACATTTCACAAGCACACGAGAACGCACAAGTACACATATTGAGAAACAGCTTATGTGTGTGGACCAATGCTGAGTCTGACTTACTCTCTCTCCTTCTCAGTGAGTCTGTCTGTGATGGTGTCCTTGATGGAGGAGCGGGAACCCTTGTGGATCACCGGGTACCGAAGAGGGAGCTGAAGGAAGCAGGAGATCATCAGGACCAGGTGTGCTGTGTAACCCAGGGCGACCGCCACGCTCCCGTCATCTTTCGCTGCAGCACAAACAGGGTTAAACTCAGTGTTAATTAATCTGGTGGCTTTTTGAAGGAGACATTAACACATCAAAGACATCATGTTAAGCAAATCCAACCCAAGACAGCAGAACATTATTCAGGCAGGAAAAGGTATTTTATCCCCTTCAAAACTTAAAAGCTGCAGAGCGCAGCAGTTTGCAAGACTGTCAGCTCTGTTTGGTATTCGATTACATGGAAACATAAAATTGTGGATTCATCGTATCATAATTAACCAACAGAAGATGACTTTGAAACCGAGTCCCTGAGAGGAAGATGAGTCGTTCTGCTCAAGAGTCAAAAAAAAATATGAAACGGAAAACGTTTGCCAAGTTGGGACTTCCAGTTTCTGTTTAAAGCTTCATTTCAATAAAAACAACTTTGATGAAATAAACATTTCAGTCCATAAATAAGCGAGAAAATGTAAAACCTACATGCCATCTGGTTTGGGTTCTTTCTGATGACAAACAAACAGATCAACTGAAGGACAAAGGATTGAAGGCTGCAGCAAAGAGGAACAAAAAGCTACTTTGTCTAATGTTTCGATTTGTATCAAAATATATCTAGCTTTAATATTCCTAACTTTTAACCACTTCCACATTAAATCACATTACATGATCCAGTTTTCATTAGGATTTTATTTGATGGGCAAACACCAAAAAAAGGAAAATATTTCATGGTTTCATGTTTTCCTTTTCTATTTAAACATCCAATAATGTTGTTGGAAGTAGTTTTAACCCTGATTTTTATTCTGGAAGTCCAAATTAAAGTCTAGTCTGAGGCCTGTGGGTGCTGCACCCCCTAGCTGAGACCCTACAGAGCCACCAGGAATGAGACAGCTTCCACTGAAGTACCCAACCCTAGGGAACCAGCAGAGACAGGCACCTGTCACTGGCAGGGAGCATAAGAAGGGGGGAGGAGATAGGCCCTGCTCATACTTGGGGCCTAAAGGCTGATTTAGGCCCCAAGCATGGCCTAAATCAGCCTTTATACTCAGAAACCAGGTCGTCTGCGTGTGTCTCGCAGTGAGCGCAAATATGCACCCGCCCCTTCCGCAGACACTCTGCTGCACATCTCCCAAATTGTAGCTGACCGCAGGGGCAGGAGGCCTCTGATTGGTCAAATCTACATCCGCTCTACTCTATGCATATTTCCTGTTTGGTTCCTTACTGGCTTGTTTTGTTTGAATGACCGCCATTGCGGAAAACGACTCATGAAGATGGACCACCTCGGAGAGCGAGGTGCGCAAGAATGCTAGGAACCTTTTCCTGGATCCCCCCTCTTTTTCACCCTCATGTCCCTCCATTGTCGCACTTATATCCAGACAGCCAGCATTTTCTGATCGTCTCACTTGCGTTGTGGCGTGGAATAACATAGCGCAGACCTGACTTCAATATTGGGCATAAATCAAAATTATCAGCGACAAGCTCACAGCGACACTCTGATGCGGGGAGTATAACCAGCTCTTTAGGCGCCTAAGATGTTCCAGTAGGTGGGAGGAGAGGCAAACACTAAATTTGACAAGTAGACAAAGACATAATCACATTCTTAAAGTCACATTAACAGAATCCCACCCTTACAACAATACATATACAAACACTCAACATGTACACACAGAGGAGCAGACACTACACATATTCTTACACTTATCATACATACATTACAAATCCTCCCTCGATTTCAGGTCTAGCCCCAAACACCACCCCAGACCCACCACCAGAAGAGACTACCAACCCCACCTACCCCCAAACAGCTCTGACCACAGCTAGTCCATGGTATCCCCAAATATACCAAGCACCCGAGACGTTTTCTCACCAGTGCTCCTCCATGTTTATCAAATGCACTCAGATTTCTTTCAGCTCGTTGAATCAGACTGGTGCAGTGTGATATTGTCCGTACTTTGCACTCAATAGTATCAGGTAAACGAGCGGGTTCACGCAGGTCTGATGTTCCCACTGCATGCTGATTGGAGCAGTGCCGTTCGAAGACGACTTTAACCCAAATCGCCTGCAGAGTCATTTGACGATCTGACACGTGTCAGTGAGCCGTTCCCACTGCCACTAAAAGCCAATTGTTTCTAGGCTTAAAAGTGATTTTAGGCCATTGGGAAAGGGGTATAAGTGTCTAAATGCATTCCAACAACCACAGGTGGGAATGAGCAGCGGAGGCAAAGCTTGAGGGCTGACCCACTTCCACTGCCCACCCTGATGCCCTACATAGATATGTCTTGGTAATGTTAGAAACCACATAGGAAGCCCCGGCCTGGTGACGATCCCCGACATCCTGTGTGGGTGGAAGTGTGATAGAGCAGGTGTAGGGAGGCATCCGAGGGGAGCAAAGAAGTGGGGAACGGGGTCCTATTAGGGATCCAGCTCCCCTACTGACCCCAATAGGCACCCTGTTCACCACCCGGAAGCAGACCGTAAACCAGACCTGCCCTTTATTTTGTTTTAGTTTTTGTTAAGAGTAGGACTGGGCAATTAATTGAATCTGGAGAATAACCACAATTTAACAAAAAGCTATTTTCAAATCCCAGACGGAGTAACTTGTGATTCTGTAACAACTTTGGTCATTTAAAAGGAGACACTGACTTTGTCACTCCAGCCCTTTATGTGGCAGTAATAAGCTTATATAATCAGCTTAATGTGGGTTTGCCACAACGATCAACAAAAGACAGAGTTGCAGCTAACACAGAAATCCATGCAAGAGTAGAAATATTTTTTTCCATAGAGCAGTAACAATAACATCCTGCGACAATGGACTCTGGAAAAGACAACTTTACGGGTCATAATAATAATCAAACCCTGGAGTGAAACATCTACTTGCTTGTGGTTAGTGCAATCCAAGTGAAATCTCTATTGAAAAACTGATTTAAAGAAATAGAAGGATAAAATTGCGTGGAAGAATTTTGGAAAAAGGTTTGAGCAAACAGGAATGTGACGTGGAGCAGCGGTGATCAAACAACCACAGAGAACTCAGCTCAGAGTTTCTACTGAAAGGGTTCAGGTGGAGGAAGAGTACAGGCAAGGGGATCGATAAAAAAAAAATGCTATTTAGATTTATTGGGAAAATCTTTCAGAAGAGGAAAATTCTAAGAAAAACAAAAGTGCCTGAGGGGAGTTATGGAAGCAAATCAAATATTAAACATATTGCAAAAAAAAATGTCCACCTGACTTTTTTTGTCCACAAAGGGAAATACATGTATGAGTTATGGACATTTTTTTCAGTTTAGAGGATTGGTTTGCAAACCATACAAATTTCCAGGTCCTTTAGTTAACATCTATTTAAATTCAAAATCCTTAAACGGAAGATAAATAACATGTTTGGCCTAAAACATGGTCAGGTCACAGACACTTAATAAATTACCTTGAAAGTCGTCTGAGTTTGGCAGCTTCACTCCACAGATGACATAATCCGACTGATTGACCTGCAGATTGAGGGAAAATGTTTCATTTGAAGGACAATAAGGAGCCAGCAGAAGCAGAGCCACACAAGATGAGGGATGATATGGGAGGAAAAACCATACAGCTGGCAGACGGATTGGGTTTAAATCATCCGGTTATGGTTTTAAGGTATCAGCATTCCAACTTTGTTAGCCAAATATCTTACAAAAGTGAGTGATTAGAAAGAGTCTGTGAGGAACCTACAGAGATGTGAGGACTCTGGACGATCTCTGAAAGCAGAGAAACATGAGCCGTGAAACATGTATTATTTTAGAAAAAATGTGGACTAAAGATGTGTGGGAGGTATCCATCAAAAAATGTCTCCAAAACTTCTGCTTCATCCATGTCAAATATATTTTCTAAAACATGATAAATGAAAGAAGGAGCAGACAGCCGAAGGCTCGAAAATAAAAACGTATTGCAACCATTACAGTATGTGACACATCTGAGGCTAAAGGGAAGAGCTTTAGAGAGCTGATAAGCTAATTAGGAGGGAAGTGTTTATACAGCTGAATGTGGAGAAATATCTGAGGTTTATCAAGGCTGTAAATGAGAGAGAGCAAGATTTTCAGCAGGTAACAGGAAGGCTAAACATCCTGCCACTGTTCATCCTTTTGAGCTTTCAACTTGTTACCAAATGTAGGTAACTGTTGAAAAAGAGTTGAAAATCTATAGTACATCCATTAGAATCAAGAAACGGAGAGCACTTTAGCACTAGCAGCTGTGCTAATGGTGAATATAAAATGGCCATGTCTTTTTAAAAAGGTTAAGTTTCTTCTTTTTTCTTCACGTTTAAATGACCGGAACTGAAAAATACTATACAAATATGCTGCAATTTTACCTCTAACGATGTAGTTCTTCAAGACAAACTGAAACTGGTTCAAATCTTATGAGTGAGTCAAAACTTTAGAAATACTGTGAATAAGAAGATCGGATCAATGTTCTGATCAGTTTATCAGTCAATGTGCGGAAGACTGTAACGGAGACGGTAGAATCGGCCTTGGCTCTTACCACTTCGATGGGGTAGATGTAGGAGAGCTCAGAGAGGAGCTGGCGACAGCGGAAGGTGAGCTGGGCGTTGGTTTTCAGGAAGTGCTCTCTGAGGAGATAAACCAAACAACAGGGGGGGGGGCAGAGTGAGCAGCAGGCTGGCAGGAGGAGACAGTGGGAGCATACAGGTAAAAGACAATGCTGAGAATCAACAGCTTTGACTCTCTATGCTCCACTTATCTGGAACAAACTTCCAGAAAACTGAAAAAAAAAAAGTGCGGAAAGCCTGAGTTCCTTTAAATCAAGACTAAAAACACATTTGTTTAGGATTGTCTTCGACTGTTGTAGTTAAACAGTTCAACTGAAACATAATTAGTTCAACTTTTATTTATTTTTCTTTAGTCCAAATGTTTTTAATATTCTTTTTTGTTTCTGCATTTTTTATATTATTTATTTATTTATTTATTTTTTTTCTACTTGCTTTGGTTCTGTTTTATTTTTCTATATTTTAATCATGTACAGCACTTTGCATTGTCTTTTTACTGAATTGTGCTATACAGATACATTTGCCTTGCCTTTTGCCTATAAAAAGACCAACAGGAAGGGGTTTAACACAGTTTGGTGGTTTTTAAGGTTAAACTGCTTGAATAAGTCGGATCACCTGTGAAGATGCCCATCTTTTATCTTCAGCAAATTATTTTGAAAACCCAGACGCTGTGATCATTTGGTTTCCTGTTGGTGTGAACCGATTCCTGTGTTTTATGATTTTTGGCTTGCTTTGTCGTACACTCACCGCTGCCCTGCCCAGGCCGTGTAAATGTTTCCTTTGATCATAATCACTGCTGAGTTAAATATTAGAAGGATGGCAGATTGATACTTCTAGGGCACATTTTATAGTAAATGTTGGAGAATTTGTAAAAAAAAAAAAATAATAATTTTTAAAAGTTGAATTTTCTTCCCGTCCAGAATAAATGTGATTCCTTCAAGGGTTGAGTTACTTAAAGTTTTTACATGTGAGATTAAATATTAATTTCAGTATCAATAAAATAATCCTGTCTGTTAGGATAATTGTCATTGAAGATGTGTGAGTTTATTAAACCTTGGTATTGGCTGCCTGTTGTGTGTCAGAACTGATGTTTTATTCTAATTAGGACAGTTCCTCTGTCTGGATCAACAGTTATAATCTTCATTCTGTACTTGGCAAAGATTAGGAAATGGAATGAGGGCGAAGTCCTTCAGCTAAGGACAAAGTGTAATATTTTTAATAAGGCTGGAGCCATGGATGTCTAATCATCTGCTAACGTATAGGATGTAAAATATGATGATGTGGCAGACTGGAGATGTAGAAAATGCCTTTTTTAACCCTTTAAAGCCAGATCCAAGAAAAAAAACAAAATAGAAAATGACTTTTTTTTGGTTTGAAGTCCTTATTTGGCCTTTTAACAAACTATGTAAAAAGAAAAAACAGAAATATATTTTTGATATTAATAATTTATTACTATGCGATAAGTCAAGATTATTTTTTGTGTAGTCCTCTACTGGCTGTTATCAGGTATATCTGATTGTGTACAATAGGATTTTGAGCAAAGTTTTTACGATTAAATTATGCAAAAGGTGTCAGACGCAAAACATTTCAGAAACTGTATGTATCAAATATGATACATTTGGCATTACAGGGTTAATGGGGCTACTTCCTGAGAGGTGAGCGGCTGGCATTCTGTAAACTCAAAGCAATTTCTCTGGTCTGAGTAAGATTACAATTTCTATCAGAACCTGTTGTCAGATCTCCTGGTTATTTAATACATATAAGTTCTGAAGTGTTATCTAAAGAGTTTGTCCTGAGTGATCTCTTTTCAGGAAAACGACCTGGAGAGATAGAACATCAAGGTGCAGACACAGAGCCCATCTTTAGCAAATGGTGTTTCTGCCCGGTTCTTTTCATTAAATGCAATTTTTATTCATCTTTATAAACGCAGCTAAAGAAGATGGGGGGTGAAAGAGTGTTTTTTTAGTGTGTTTCCCCTCTGTCCCATGCAATACGCTGGTGGGGCAGATTGGGTAATAGCCCATCATTTTGTGAAGATGAAAAGGGATTTGGGGGGTTGGTTTAGTAATTGAAAGTGATCCATCCTCCCATAAATGCTTCCAACCTTTCAGTTGTATTTCCTTTCTGGCCTCGCCTGTGGCTAGCAATCTTTTATTATTTTTATTCTCTCAGCAAGAAACACTTTGGTGGAAGTGGGAAAGCAGATAGACTGGTGGGTGAAGATCGTTTGATCTGGAGTGTCCAGCAGGCTTTGGCTCCTATAACTGCTTCGCCCACCATACCACCTCATTTAAAAGTATTTTTCTGAAGCATGCAAACTCTCCCTACTGTCCCTTTGAATACTTGAAGAGAAGGTGATGAGTAGATCCTTGGTTTTTTTCCAGTTTCTTTTTTTTTCCTTCCCACAGATTATTTGCAGGTAATCCTGTATGCATGAAAGCGAGAGAAACTTTGGCTGAAAGCTTAGAAAAGCTGCTGCAGGACTAAAATTCAACTTCATCCAAAAATACTTTATTAATCCCAAAGAGGGAAATAATAACGAGGACGTAATTTTAACTAAAAACTGAACTTTGATTAGTAGTTTTTTCTCCGAATGAACTTTGATGCATCAGTTTATTTTTACTTTCTTAGTAATTGATGCCACATTTCAACCTGTTGCTGCTTTTCATTTCTTCTGTCATCTTTCTGCTATTTCAGCTATTCAAGCATCACAATATTTAGCTATTGGAAGATATAGAGGCTATGATCTTCATTTAATTATCACAGGTGAGTTTCTACAGCATCAAACTAATTGTGATTTCTACTTAAAAAGAAATAAAAGAAGCTCCTTGGAAACAAGTAGAAATTTGCTCAACAGCTTAATCAATATAACGCCTATAAAGATTTCAGCAGTGATTATTAAAAGGAGGATATGCTGTGCTGGAGGACATAGGGACCCCTTTTTCATCATTCTGCTTCATTCTATCTCTATTCTCCTATTCTGCAGAATCTGTTAGTTCAAGCTTTAACATTCTGCTCTCTCTGCTTTTTCTCATAGTAGCTTCATCTGGTCTCTTCCTGTTTGGCTGTGACTCCATCCTGGAGAGAAATATCAGCTGTGCTGCTTCCATCAACACCTTTGTTTCTAGATGTTGGAGATCTGCCTGTTTTGCAGTGTAGTTCTGTTTCTCTGACTGTGACTAACTGGATGTGCTCTCTTCATCCTCTGACATTGGAGCTGGCTCGGAGCTTGTCTGCCTGGCTGTGTATTTCCTGGACGGGGCCGCCTTTTACAGTTACCTTTTGTTTCTCTGCTTCTGTCTCCTTGAACCCCAGTCGGCTTCAGCAGATGGCCGCTCACACTGAGCCTGGTTCTGCTGGAAGTTTGTTCCCGTTAAAAGGGAGTTTTTCCTCTCCACTGTCGCTACAAGCATGCTTAGTGTGAAGGATTGCATTCGAGTCAAAGAGTCGATGCAGACCAGATAAAAAAATGGGCAGGAAACATATCTTCCCATATGAGTTATATCTAATAAGCTATGATAATAAGTCTACAGTTCCATCTAATTTAATGATCTCAGAATTTAAGTAAATTCAGTTGTTCTCATCACTTTGTGCATAAAAATGTACTGTTACCCATCCCCATCATAAAAATATAGCTTCTGTAATGCTAATTTTAAATCAGAGTTAAAAATGGGGAAGTTTTAGATCCTGGGCCTGATATTAAAGTGCCATACGCATAATAATCTCATTAAGTCTTATTCAATATTGCTAATATTGAAAGATGTCATCATTGGCTCAGAAAATGTTCAAATTTCTATTAAATTGCAGTTTTTTGTTGCCAATTCATTATTCCCGAACGTTGAAGTTTCAGGTCGTTTTCCCTGCTGCTTATTTTCAAGCAGCCAAGCAGCTTCAGGTTTCCCCCCTTTAATGTTTTGCTAATTCAACAGCAAACTTTGAATCAATTTGACTGTATGATCAGGTGAACTGTAAAGTGACTTGAGATGATGTGTTGTGAATTGGCGCTATAGAAATAATCTGAATTGAAATTGAATAGATATTCATTATTTTTTCACTTTTTGACAACATGTTAATCAACCAGATTCAGTTAAAGATTTTTTATATTGTTTATTGTATTTGATTTATTTCATGAAGCTAAATGAAGCACGTTTCATCCCAAACTTGGACTACCAAGTCAGACATTTTGAATAGGGTCATCCTAAAAGGCTGGATGCTAAATGTTGGATGAAATGTTGCACTAAATCAATGATGCCAGAGTCCGGCTCCAAAAAATTAACATCCTGCAACTTTTATATGCATTTCTTCTCCAACACGCCTGAATCAAATTATTATCTGATTAACAGGCTTCTTTAGAACTCAACAGTCATTATATTCATGCAGATGGGGTCAGGGGTTTCCATAAGTCGCAGGATAGTTAAAAGTTCTACTAGTCCCAGCCAGTAGGTTGCACACTCGTGCTCGACTGCTTTCCTTCAAACCTTCAGCTGTACCGTCTGCCGCCCAGAACAAAAGCTGCCGCCTCAGTTCGGCTTCTGGGCACTTTTGCTTCCCTAAGTTTTCAAAAACACTGAAAAATGTACCAACTATTTATCCTTGTTTTGCTTCATTATGTTATGCTTGAATCTGAGATGAAGAAGAAGCAATTTCTCAGCTCCATCATGGAGCCACTAGCGTCCACCAACGCTCTGACTCATTCCTATTGGAGCACCATCCTTTTGTCTCCATGTCTGCATCATAACCAAAAGTTATATTTATATTTTTTGGACCTGTCAACATTTATAAAACAATTAATGCTAAAATGTTTTCAGTAAAACTAATACTTTAATTTGGGACATTCTTTGGTTGTATTATTCACTCATTATTTTGATGAAAAAGCTAGAACTATGATTTTTAACAGACTTCTGCTGAATTATTATTATTATTATTATTTTAAATGATAGACATCTGTTGAATTGAACTCAGGATTCCAGGTTTTAAACCATCAGACATAAGCTGATGTGGTTTTACTGAGTAATTCCAGTTTAACTTCCTTCTAACCTTCATTTTTTGCCTTGTTGGTGAATGAAGCTACTCCTCATGATAAACGCCAGATCAGAAATTTGATTATTTCACGATTCTCACTACAGGCGACAGGGTTTTTTTTTTTTTTTTAAACTACAATGACCTCAGTTACAAAAGTCCAAGTCTTCTTTTTGATCTAGATATCAAGATGTTCCAACTTTGTGTTTATTTGCACCCTTTCAGCCACGTCTGGACGCTCCACCCAACAGGCCGAGTCTATAGTTGGCATGCAGAGTGTGAATTTCAGACACTGGAAAAGAAATCCTGCCAAACATCCTTTTGCAATAATAATATTGAGATGAATCCCACTTTGTTTAAAATGTTGATATGGATTCAATCCTGTAGATGGCGTTTATACGTTGGAACCTGTTCTTCTTTGCAACAAAACTCTTATTGTTTAATGTCTGCCAACGCTGTCAAAGGCTGAGGTGGAAAATGGTGGGATGTGTTTTGAGTCAGAGTAAAGATGAGAGAAAGAGCAAACAAAGGAAATGTCCATTCAGTTTGGTGGGAATCAGTAATGGATCAAAAACACATGATGTACAAGAGTAGCTGCTCTGTGCGTCTGAACCACCAGGAGGAAACAAATCTGTGAAACCACCTGAAATTTAAAGGCAGTGATGATCTATGAGCAACGTTAACAGCAAGGGACTAGAATTTATTTAACAGATGATGAGAAATCTGATATGTGTTGAAATCAAATTCCAAAAAAAAAGTTTAAAAAAAAACAATCCACTGGACTTTGTTTCCAAGTTTGAAGACGTTTCGCCTCCGATCCAGGAAGCTTTTTCAATTCAAATTGTCAGGAATAGCTTGAGTTCGAGATTTTTATACAACAGCCCATCAAAACCTTGTTTTTGTTTTGAAAACATGCAAATTGGAATGGACGAACGGGTAAATCCCTTTGGAATGAGGGTCGTTTGGCGGGAAGAGATGAACTCAATTGCTAAATCATTTCCCCCTATCATCGCAGCCCGAGCCCCTGCACAGGAGAGCGACGGACCTCGCCTTTTCAGCCAGTCAATCCTCTTTAACGACCGACCTTTCAGACACTTAGACGGGTATGGGGCATTGCAGGCTAACAAAAGAAGCCAAATGACCCCCATTCCAAAGGGGTGGAACTATTTATCTGTTCCGATTTGCATGTTTTCAAAACAAAAACAAGAATTGATTGGCTACTGTATAAAACGTCAAACTCAACGCTATTTCTGACATTTTAAATTGGAAAAAGCTTTCTGGATCGGAGGCGAAACGTCTTCAAACTTGGAAACAGAGTCCAGTGGATTGTTGTAATTTTCTTTTTTTGGAATGCCAGTTCTGCACATTTGAATTTGCTGCTGAAGGGAAGTCCTTCATGTCAAAGCAGGAGAGGAGCAAGATTATCTGAACACTAGCGCCCTCCTCTCTGTCTGCTATGCTAACCTAAATGAATCAATATATAAACTAAGGTTGTTTGAATAGAATAGAAATAATCAAAAAATGACTTTAAAAAATGATTTTAAAGAGTATGTAGATATCTGGTTTACATGTCTACTACAGCACTTTTTCTGCATGGTTTTGTTTAGTTTTCTCCAAGGTTCCTTCTTCTTAATCTAATATTGCAGAACAAGTCTGCTGTAGTTTTCCTGTCTGCAGCTAAAGGTATTCCAGCTCAATCCTCAGATCCGGGTCTCAGGTCCCAGACTTGAAGGATTACATGAACAACATACATTTCCACATAATGGGTTTTAGGCAGATGTCCAAGTGTCTGCAATAATATCCTGTTCTCTGAATCTCTTGGCCCCCACAGGCCTTCCTGGGGCTTCAGTGACCCCCCTGGAACTGGCAGGTATTTTTCGGATACAAAAAGCAGCATCCAGTTTATGCATCCCAACATCGTTCCACAAGCCAGAACAAAACCAAGCCTTTGGGTTTTTTTTAGGAATGCACAGAGACAAACATCTTCTTGTTTCAAAGACGCAAAGTAAGACGAAGAAGCGGGTTGTTCTCTAGTTATCATTTCATTTAGATAAAGAAACGCTGCAATTTCAGAGGGCAGGGACCTGGCATGTACAAATGAATGCATGACTTGTTTTCTGTTTTCTGTAGAAATGTCTAATTACATCCCAACACTTACCTCTTGGCTGTGCATTCCTTCTGCAACTTTGTTAAGGACTCTTTCTCCTCCTTCAGACTTTCGTGCTGAGTAGAAAAAACTTCCTCTGACAGAAGCAGAAAGAGAAAGAAAAATGTAAATGATCAGGTTTGTGTGCCTCGGTCTGTTACATCTGAACATCCAGGTGGGCCTGCGTTGTGCTGGCTTCCTTCCACTGTCAAACTTACGCAAGATGAAAGAGGTTTTTTGTTTTGATCGGGAACAAACCATTTCCTTTTGACACCACATAAAACCAGACAACATATGCATGGAGATTATAGGATTTGTCAGACTCCATAAATACAGAGTGGGTAACATAAACACAAATTGAATAGATATCATTAGAGGCGGTGATGATCTAGCCGGAGGAAGAGGAGTAACTGAAACACAGACGAGTTGAAGCAGCAGGGAACCAGAAACCACAGAGGTATAATAAGTGTAGGGTTGTAACCCGATATTTTTCTGATCTCTGTGCCAAAAATCATTTGTTTTATGTTCTGATTGTGCATATGAATATGTGGTGCTTTCCCGCAGCAGTTGTGACTCTGTAATAATCTCTGAGCCTGTCAGGAACCTGTTTTCACCGAGTCAGCGAGGCTACATGTTGAGGCGGGTAAAAAATAAGAGGATGATTTACGAGCGTTTTTAATTATGAATGCAAAACCAAGTAAATGACACTGTTGCTTTTATTAGGTGGCTTCATAAATCGGCTCTCTATGCAAGAGATTAAAAGGCCTTCATATAAACATGAACCACAAAACTGGCTTAAATCTGAGGCAATCAGACTTTTGCCCAGTTTTTCTGGGAAAAAAGTGTTTTTTTCTATGTTTTGTGGGGGAAAAAAAGCCCAATAAATAATCACTTGTTTTCACTTATCCTGCCCACTCATTGAATGCAGGTATTTCAGTCCAAGCCCATAGTCTGCTGGGTCTCCCAGTGTGGTTCTGTGAAACAAAACCCTTAAGAACTTCACAGAACATTTATCTCTGCATCATTTAAATGACATACAGCAGACACCATTTACTTATTCGGTGGATTTTTTTAATGGAAACTTCATTAGACCTCATTTAGGAGCATCAGGATAAAAGGGGGGATGGCTTTCTTATTTCTTATTGTAGAAACATGGGACAATGTATATACTTTCCCTGCTTATAAATACTGCTCAGAAATTACAGGGGACACTCCAATAACATACCCTAGATCCAGAGATGGGAAGTAACAAAGTATAAATACTTTGTTACTGTACTCAAGTAGATTTTTCTGATATTTTTACTTTACTTTACTACTTATTTTTATGGTGACCCTTTACTTCTACTCCTTACATTTTTACACAAATATCTGTTCGTTACTTTAGTTTTGAATCATTTCAATGGAGTTACCGTTATTATTTTTCACGTCATCAATACCAAATTCAGTCTAATTGGATGGGAATCTACGTTGCATTTGACGCACCACTACAAGATGAATCGACAGATTCGGCGGTATTCATTCGCGGCAAATCATTGCAGCTTGGTGGCGGTGGCGTTAGCATAGTAGCATGGACGACGAGATGATTGAAAATGAACACAACGGAGATCTAGTCCTATTGGCAGACATCCATTTAAAATGTAGGCAACGGCATGAAAAAAGTGGTTTCTACTTTTACTTCTATACTTTAAGTAAATTTACAAGCCTGTACTTTGTTACTTTTACTTGAGTAAAGAGGTTTAATCAGTACTTCCACTTTTACCAGAGTATTTTTTAACACAAGCATCTGTACTTTTACGGAAAGTGAGTACTTTTGCCATCTCTGCCTAGATCTGATTGAATGAAATACTCTCATTTAATACTTTATTCTGTACAAAATTGTGCTGACAACAAAATCTCTCAAAAATCATCAATGGAAATCAAATAATTATCCAATTGAAGCCTGGATTGGAGTCACACACATAATTAAAGTGGATAAACACACTACAGCCTGACATAACTTTGATGCAATGTCCTTTGAACAGGTCAAAATGAGTCTTAGTCTTCGGTGCCGCCTCCACGTGCCTGTATGACCTCCCTACAATGCCTGGGAACGCTCCTGATGAGAAGCCACATGGTCTCCTGAGGGGTCTCCTCCCAGACATGGACCAAAGCATCCCCCACCTCCTGGACAGTCCGTGGTACAACATGACATTGGTGGATGGATTGAGACATGATGTCTCAGATGTGTTCAGTTGGGTTCAGGTCTGGGGAATGGACAGGACAGTCCATAGCTTCAATGCTTTCATCTTGCAGGAACTGCTGACAAACTCTAGCCAAATGAGGCCTAGCATTGTCCTTAATTAGTAGGATCCCAGGGCCAATTACACAAGCATATGGTCTCACAAGGGGTCTGGGGATCTCATCTGAGTATCTAATGGCAGCAATGCAACCTCTGGCGAGCACATGGAGCACATACTGATCCACTGCCAAACCGGTGACGCTGAAGGATGTTGCAGGCAGCAGATCGCTATCCTCGTTTTCACGTCTGTCACATGTGCTCAGTGTTAACCTGGTTTCATCTATGAAGCACACAGGGTACCAGTGGTGAATTAGTATGGAGAGATATTTGTGCCTTCGGTTTGAGCACGCAGGAACCAATCCGAGCCCGCAGTGATACAACACGGGTGCGATCAACTCTGAAAAACTCTTCTCAACACACTGTTGTCGCACTCAGTTCCATCTCTGTGCGTGCTCGGATCTGTCTCTGCTCGCGCTCGACCTGCTCTCTCCGCGCTCAACACCAGCTGTGCACTCAGCTGTCTCTCTGCCCGCTCGACTCAGTCTCTGCGATCGCAAATTCATAAATGTATGTAAATATGGCGGTTGGCAAACAACTAGATCGGGATTGAAACAAATATATCCTACTGTCTGCTGACTGAATGATTGTGTTTAAATGAATATAACGCTGAACTAGAATCACAGAAAATTTAACTTCTTAAAGGAACAATTTCTTCAATCTATTCTAACGCCAATATGATCACAAACTTTTCTCCTTAGGAGGCTGAATTCAATCACTGATTCTTTTACCCGATTTAAAATTAAATTCTGTAACTAAAAAGAAACACCATTCCTAATATTGGAATATATTGAAGGATCCCTAAAAATGTTTCCATATCTAAAATATTTTTATCTTAATACTATCGAACCATACTTGAATCTGAAATGTCCTCCTGATTTCTCTTTTTAAACAGCAAAATTAAATCCATATCAATAGCAGGCAAAAAGAGATGGATGAGGTGATGATCTAATAACTGTTTTACTGATATTTATTTGAGATAATTCAAGATATTTTATAGTACTATCTGCTGTCCATCAAATTGAATGTTGACCACGAACCTAAAAGAGTTGTTAGATTTCCTGATTGTGTTTTTTTTTTTAACCGGATGTAGTATTTGGAACGAATACTTTGATTGGATGAAAAAAAGCTGGCCGTGATTGGCTGATGGTGTGGTTTATTTACATACATTTATGAATTTGCGAGCGCAGAGAGGCAGTCGAGCGCACAGCTGGTGTTGATCACGGAGAGAGCAGGTCGAGCGCGAGCAGAAATGGATCCTAGCACGCGTATGGAACTGAGCGCGACGAGATGCTGAGAAGAGTTTTTCCAGAGCTGAGCACGGGCCAGACCGGTTTTTAATGGGCGCGCGTGTTGTCTCAATGCACACTGGGATTGGTTCCTGTTCTCTATAACCGAAGGTACAAATATCTCTCTATAAATTTGCCAATTCTGTTGGTCAGGACACCTTGCAAAGCTTTCTGAAGGGCTTGTGAGCACAACCCTTATCCCTGGACGTCAGGCCCTCATACCATCCTCATGGAGTCGGTTTCTAACCATTTGTGGAGACACGTGAACATTTGTAGCCTGCTGGAGATCATTTTGCAGGACTCTGGCAGTGCTCCTCCTGTTCCTCCTTGCACAAGGGCAGAGGTAGCGGTCCTGCTGCTGAGTTGTTGCCCTCCTACGGCCTCCGCCATCTCTTCTGGTGTACTGGCCCTTCTCCTGTTAGCGCCTCATGCCTCTGGACATTATACTGAGAAATAAGGCAAACCTTCTTGCCATAGCTCGCATTGATGTGCCATCCTGGATGTTCTGCACCACTTGTAGAGTCTGTCCATGTTAGCAAGTGTGTGAAAGCCCCACAAACATTCAAAGTAAAGAAAACATCAGCCAGAGAGCAAAGGTACTGAGAAGTGGTCTGTGTCCCGACCTGCAGAACCAATCCTTTATGGAGAGAATTTTGTTTTCATTGAAGTCATACTATGTGTTCTACGTGTTAACTTTATTTTTTTTAGCAGTGTATATATAAATGTAATAGTCAGGTTAGCCTGGGTACTGCATAGGTGCAACAATGTTCCTACACAGCCACAGAGCCTTTCTAAAGTGCACACATTCAAAACATGTAAAGAATGTGTCTGAAATTAGATTTTCCAGGAACTAATTAAGATAATCTGTTGAACAGTCTTACAACAGCTGGCCTTCGTAGAAGTTCGCAGCATTTAAGATTATCAGACAACATGTGATCAGATGGATCAGAGGACCTGCTTGTTATCAAGGCCTTCCACCTACATGCAGGCTTTCCCCACAGGCATCATAAGGGTATAAGGTGAGAGGCTGATGGAGAAAAGAGAGGTTGAAGGAAACATCTCAATCAGATTAGCTGTCTGGGCAGATAGCATCAGACAGAGATCAGACAGTCCATCCCTCTGTTCTGAGTGATGACATGAAAACATATTTTAACACGAATGACAGAGGCCTGTATCCCACCACCTCTTTCATGTAATGCGTGGCTCGACCCTATCTTGTGTGCCCATCAATCTTCCCATCCTTTCATGTCTCTAACCTGTTCCCGTTTGTACAGTGGTATGATATGGACAGACAATCCGTAGCAGAAGCTACTGCAGCACAGATGTTTTACTCTGGATACAGGTTTCTCCAAACACCCCCACAGAAAATAGAAAATATTGGCTACTATATAATCTGGATAAATGCAAGGGTGAAATTGAATTATGAATTGGTTTCTAACATTTCTTTTTAGAGTTTTGACATGACCTAGTAAA